ATTGGAGGTGGAGCTGGTGGCGGCGGAAGCTTTGGTGGTGGTGGAGGTGGTGGCATTGGTGGTGGCCTTCATTGATCAACAAAGTTTCAATCATCTTGCACACAATAATTAAGCAAGGGGTAGCAATGTTCTTCTATTTACTCTTGGAAGCGCTCCATATAAAGCGGTTAATTACTTTTAATTAGTCGTTATTCTTTTGTGAAACTTGTTATTCCTAGTAATTAAACAAGTTCGCGTCGAATCATACTTATATTGTTCTTTTGTTTGTTGTTGAGTTAAAAGCAAAAGCTTTTGTCCATCTTTGCTTCAAAATAGTTATGGACTTTTTAGTTGTAATGCCAATATTGTCATCAATATTAATAAATATAAAAGTTGTATTCTCAACATTGTTTGTATCAATTAGAGTACTTCATTTTGTTTATCAATCTCCGTTCAATATAAATATCCAATAACTTTATGTTTATCAAAATTAAAATAAATTTAAAAAAAGTTAGCTAAAATTTAAACTCTGAGTTCAAAAATGTAATTTTACATAATATATCAGTACTGATATAAATATTTAAAAAGAAAAAAAGAAACAAAGGAATGACATTCAAAAAACAAATAAATTGACATGACGAGGTACAAATAATAATTATACTATCAAAATATATAATTCAATTATGATTTAATAAGTATATATACATATATATACTAGTGTTGTTAGTATACTTTTAAAGTTTTCAGTTGGTGTTTTATATTGATGTTGAAGTTGGACTAAATTTGGATCCGCACAATAAATACAACTCTCAAGATCGAAAACTCAAATTTGAGACTTCTAATTAAGCGTGAAAAAATACTTATCACTCCATCATAACTCATGTCGCTAGTGTTGTTCATGTATTAATGATGCATATGCATGACAAATTGGGTTTGGGTACATGTTCATTGTGCATTATGACAAATACAATATTACTTTATAGTACATGGAATTTTCTTACTTTAAAAAAATACTATTTTACCATCATAGCTAATTATTCATTATTAATGGTAACTGATAAATGTGTACGAAAAAAACATATTTAATTTGCAGTTAATTATTTGATGAGTGCCGATAAATTATATATTTAGGACCATAAGAAAAAGGAAATAGGCTTGTAACTAACATAATTTATTTTGTCAATTTATTGTTAAATTGATTAACAATAATTTTTATGATTTAACTGTGAAATTTGTTAATTAATTTTTAAAATTTTATTTTGGTGATTGTTAAAATGAGACGGAAGGAGTATCACATATAACCATGTTGAACGAATCATAAATTAAAAGGTAAAAATACGAGCTACTAAAAAACCTTAAGACTCGGTCGATTAACTATTTGACGAAAGTTCGGTATCTCTTCCCGTGTTCCTCCTCCCATCCCCATTTTAATAAAATATCCTATTTTCTTGCTTAATATTTTTTTAAAAGAACAATTAAGTTATGAAGTTATTATACATAAACAAAATGGATCTCATTATTTAAATATGCCCTTAAACTATGTGAAAGGAACAAAAAGGTCCTTTATTTATAGTTTGACTCAAAAATGTTGTTATCGTCAATATTTTGGCTAAAAAATGCCCTTGCAGTCAATATTTTGATTTAGAAATGTCCCTATAATTATAAAATTAATCAAAAATGCCCTTGCAGTCAATACTTTGATTCAGAAATGCCCCTATAGTTATAAAATTAGTCAAAAATGCCCCTTTTTTTAATAAATACATTATATTTTTTCTTTTTAGACACGTCTTCTTCCTAATTAAAATATTATTAAAGAACACTATTTTTATTTTTTTCCCTTCTAAAATCACTTTAACAAACAAAAATTTAGGAAATATTTTTTGAGATTCTTAATCTTATTTTGTCAATTAAAATAGAATAACTTCATGCACACTTTCGACAGATAATATATTTCATATATATAAGATTTAGTGTATCCATCATTACTTTATATTATATAACAATAAAAAATAATGATGATAAAATAAGAAATATTTTCATTTTTTATTTTTTCTGAATTGAAGTAAGATAAACATTTGTTATTTTTTTTTAAAAAAAAAAACAATATTAGAAAAGGAATAAATATTTATTTGGAAAATAAGCATTTTTGACCCATTAAAAAATAATGATATTTTAAATCAAAGTATTTAATGCATGAATATTTTTGGATCAAACTACAAATGGAGACATTTTTGAACTAAAATATTAACGATAAAAACATTATTGAGCCAAACTATAGACAAAGAATATTTTTACTCTTTTCACATAATTTAAAAACATTTCAAACACCGATAAAAAGAAACTGGACCCCCCAAAATTTTGGGACCTAAAACCCACGGTTTGATTGCTTGATCCTTTGGTCGACCCTCATATTTTGCCCCCTTTTGGGTGTTTTCCCACATGTATCAACAAGTTAATAGTGTAATATTGTACTAGTAGTAACATTTCTTATACATAAAATTCGAAAACGAAAAATCGTGGAGCGATAAATATTTTTTAAAAAAATATTAGTTTCGGTCTTTGATCGAGCTCCTATATCGTAGTCGCCTTTGATAACAATGTTTTACCTCTAATGTAGGATATTCCATCGAATTATTCAGATTTAATTGATTCTAATATAAATATCGAACTTCACACGCGAAAAATAAAAATAAAAAACATTTCTATTATTAAAAAGTATGCTGTGTTTTTCCAGGCTACATTTTGGCATCTTCTATTTGTCTTGTGAAAAATACCATAGTAAATGTTCAGTTTGATGTAGATGGAACATTCATTATGGGGACCTCACAAAGACCAAATCAAACATGAAATTTTGGGGAAAAAAAGTTACATTAGACAACTTTTTTAACTTTTTTTGGATATGAATAAAATTAAGTCATCATATCTTCAAGATTAAGGTACTAAATTAAGTACACATACATGGTTAAATAGTTTTTTTTACACTAATTAAAACATTAATATAACTAACATGAATATGAACGGTAGTATATTACTGAGACACTGCTTCATCTTTAATTAAAGGTCTCATAAGTTTGAACCCTAAGTATGGAGAAAATCCTATTGGAAGCGCCATCTGAATAGACACTGCAATGCGGCTTACGAACACCAGGTGAAAATCTTATTTTTGCTTCATTCTTTTACTAATCATATTTTGCTAAACGAAAACAAATTTAATTAGTATTCGGAGTTACATTATATATTTTAAATTTATATTAAAAATTATATGAAATATACTATAAGTTATTATTCGAAATTCTCATACTAATACAATTAAAATATAAATCTTATAATATTAGTTAATTGTATTAAAATATAAATCTTATAATATTAGTTAAAATTTATATAATTGTACTTTTGAAAAAAGAAATATGACAAATAAAAATCATCGGAAGAGCAGAAGAACCACCAATAATTTGAATTTACACTATATATTATAGTTATATAATTATGAAATCATATCAACTAATCAAACTTTTTTCTCATATCATAGCTAGCTACTTTATTTTATTATTATATACATGGGCCACTTATTTTGACAAGACACAGACAAAACTCAAATATAAACATTATTTTTTTCAATAAATTTTTTTTATATAAAAAAACATCATGATCTGTAGCAAAGAAAAATCTGACACAACTGTATTTTATGGGTGTCTCAAACTTTTTATTTAATCTCTGAATCACTGCTTGAAAAAATAAATAAATTCAAGAATCACAAGACATGAATTTTCATCAAAAATCTACATTTAAATTTTGAAAATCGACTTTAAAAAAATATATATTTAAAAGTTATGAGTAGTGTTTTTGACCATGTAATTCAATATTCCAAAAAAGTTAAAATTCGGTGAACTGAAAAGAAAAAAAAAATTAAAAAAAAAATAGTCAGAACGGATTTTTCAAATTTGAAAATTCATTCGTTATTCATACCTCTATTAAAATAGAATGATTTCACCTGTTCTTCGTTAATAATGATTATACCTTTTCACTTATATCTCTTTTTAAAAATTTAATCCCGATTAAATTATAAATTTAAAAAAACCTTAAATCGACTATTTTCCAAAAATGTTTGAGTATGGTACTGAAAAACTAACCAAAAAATTATTCAAATTTATAACCAAATGATCATTCAAATATTTTAATAAAATTTCATCATGAACATTAACAACATCAAGGGGGAATATATATATATATGTATATATATACAATCCACTTTTATTTATTAAGCAACATTAATACTATATAGTAGAAATATAAGAGAACAAACTAATAATTTCCCATGTATATAACATACTAACATTTTTTTATGATAAAACAAAAAAAGAAAGAAAAAAAGGAAATCATAATCATAATCATAATATTAATGATACCAAATTGCTCATTAAGATGCAATTAATTTTTCATTTGTTGGACTCCGGATTTGCACCACTAGGAACCTCATGAAGGGCCTCCCCATAATATTTTCGACTCGGCGTGCCGGTCCCACCGGTACCAACTATAGTCGTGGTCATGGTCGTGGTCGTGTCAGTATCACTAGGAGTCGATTGTTTGTGATGGACTTGCATATTGGTGACCAATTTTCCATTAAACGGGGAAAAATTTATGAGTAGACAAATGAAGAGAAGAAGAAAAAAAAGAGTTTTTGGTTGAGTTATTTTTGCCATGAAGAAAGAAATAGTTGAATAATATTAATCGAGAAAAATAATAATAACCACCCCCCAATAACCCTAGGGAGATCAATATCCATGAACCAAATGAAACCACTAATAATATAAGAAAAATTTTACAAACTAATTATAGAAGAAATTTCTTTTTCTTTTATAATCTATACTATGAGAAGAAGTTTTTCTCAATTTTCAACAAACTATAAATGTTATGTGACTTATAAATATGGGAAATCTTGTTAAAGTATGATATTTTCTTTTATTATAATTCCCATGTTGCCCTTCTTGTTTATCTATTTTTACAAAAGATAACCCCTCTTTGTGAATGAAAAAAAAAAATAAGACTTAAGTTTTCATTCACATGTGACCTAGAACCTTTGAAGAAAAGTCAAGTCA